TTTGCTGCTTTGTTAACTTTGGGTGATTCTTTTTCGGCTTCTAATCGAGGTTATGATTTTCCGTTGCAGCAAAGGTGGGTTGTCGCAACTTCTGACAGGATCGCTATTGTGAATAACTGACCATTAGCCGGAAAAGAATATGCCCGATATCGCCGCACGTCTTACCTTCAGTGTCCAGTTCGTTGTCCTCACAACACTCATCATGGCTGACTACGAGTCCCTGCGATAGTGCTGAATGTTCAGCACACTGCATTGAGAAGCATTGGGCGCTCTTTGCACCCACACACATCTGATCGACTCTGAAGTGCGTGTCCTCAAAGATATAACCACAGAACAGAAGATGAAGTGCAAACAAATCGGTGAATCAAAAATGGTTGTGGTAGCGTTGCACACGGGCTTTCTATGTGCACTCACACTATCATAGCATGCTGCCTATCTTAACTGCAGGTAGAAGATGCTTTTTACCGCTAGGTACGCTAGTGTTCGCAAATGACAAGTGGAGCCACTTTCCGATCCGAAGCTCCACTACTGTGATATAACCCAAGCCTATCGTATTGCTGATTACCACCTCCAAGCCTACCAAGCTACGTTCTGATGCCGTTGTGGTACCTTCCGCAATGTACCACCGATGAAAATTATCAAACATCTCCCCCCGAACATCTGTCATGCTTCGAAAATAGGATTCTCGGCCACCGCAAACTTCAGCGGAAGCGTTTTATCCGGTGCTTGTAGGTCTTTATAGAACTCGAGCAGATTCCGCCCAATCCACCCGGCTTCACACAGATGACAGACGTGGGCGATTCTTGATTCAACAGCTTATAGCATTCTATGGTCATCCCTATAAAGTCCTATGATCATGCCATCGAATTCCATTCCAATTGAGACTAATGACTGACAAGAATATCAGAGGAAAAACAGAGGAGAAAATGTGTAAATTACCGTTCCGAAGATATTCGGCAAGACCGGGATTCAAATCGCAGAAGATCCCGCTCTGATGCTTCGTTGTACGCTTCGTACAAAATGCTAAATTCAAAAATAAGAATTGTATTCTGGAATAACGCCTTCAATGGGGGTGACCTTTGGGTAAACCATGTGGGCGAAAATGAGAGCAGCGTTGGGAAAGTTTGCAATATTTCACGAAGTTCATCAAGGAAATCACGAGTCATATTGAGTTTTGGTGAACTTTTCCAATACTGAATGTGAGGATTCATCAAGCTCGATGCTCATAGTTCCTTCGTAGTTCTGTTCGTACGACTAACAGCATAGCGTAGGTGTTCCACCATCCCCGTCGTATATTTCCATTTGTTTAATATTGATGAAATTGTTGGTGTAACCTTCCGAATTTATCACCAAATCGTCTCTAGATGTAACCCATTTCAGCCGTCTTGACTGCCGTACCGACAAGAACCGGCCATGGTGTAGATAAAGTCGACTGAAGTGAGGCCCGAATAGAAGCTGTTCTAGATAAAGACACGATCCGCTTAGATTTGTGATGTGATTCGGAAGAGACGGACTTAGTTTTGCTGATTCAGACAATACTTACAGAATTTTTCGAAAGATTCTCAACACCAGTAGGTACTCTTTTGATATTTTTAAATTCTTGATTGAATCCTTGTATCACCAGTTTTATGATCCTAGGTTTTATGTATGACACTCTCTCACTAGCTTCATTTGTGAGTAAACAAACTATTGAAGCGGGTAGTTAACCTTAACAACGATTGGCAAAACGTCAACACTCAACAGTGATACCGTTTGATATTATATTTCTTGTGTCCTACTTATCAAAGTGTGCCATAATGTGCCCATGCTGTGTTTCGGCACAGTGTGCAGAGTTGATTGCCCCTTGGGTTGAAGAGACTTTCAGCCGTACCTTCAACTCAATTGATAGTAACCGGACAAAGAAACTAGATATCAAAGTTGACCATTTTCTATAGAAATCCTCTTCCACAGGTATTATATGAAACATTACTGTATATTCGCAGGCTTGTCAGGTAGTATGTCAGTCACAGTCTTCAGTAAAGTTGGGTCATTTTATGTAATCAAAAGCTTCTCCAAACGTACAATGTTTTCAAAAAACTCAAATGGATGTGTTCCTGAAGATATACCGATTTTAAAGCTATAATTACTCTGAAAATTTCAATATTTGGTAACTCCAGAAGTGTCCCTTAAAATATAGGGAATCTCATCACAGTATTAGTTTTTAAAAATATTTGCCAGATCCAGCAACCCATTTCAGAATGTCTGGAGAGTCACGCCCATTCCGAAGTTACTTTCACTTACAATAAGCCCCGCATGTATGCATCACCGTTATCAAATGGATATTGTTATTACTGTTATTGAAGATAAACCAATACAACCATTCAATCAATTATGTGTAAACGAATTCTCACATGACTAATTTGAAGAGTCCTTTTCTCATTCGAAGCTCATTGTCACTGTCATTTGAGTCACTGACTATCATTTGATATACGAGTTTGGAAGAACCCCAGCAAAATGGTCCCGAACAGACAAGTCGACCCGATCACGGATCAATTTAAGAGTAATTTAAGTTCGATGTCAACCCAATGTCGTGTTGTTGTCGGGTCATTTCGTGCATTTCGTGATGCACCTTTGTCGTAATACTTCCTTTAACGAACACAAATTTTCTTGCATTGCCATGGTCATCTGGGAGGAGGTTCGCGTCTAGTGCATCCCCCAGGAACAGTTCGCGGCCACCAACTGCCACCCGTCCAGTCTTGTGCGTATCCAGCGAGGCATCTTTCATATTGCTCGCAATCTCACCGGCGAGAGACCAGCAGCCGAGCACTTTTGCAAGCGGAAAACTTGCTTATTCACGGCAACGTCGGCCACCGAATCACCACCAAAACTCGCGACGGACACTGTTGCGAGAACTCAAGAACAACGACAGATTCCATCAGACTATAGCAGTGGGCCTGTCGGATCGTCAACGCCCATGGAAATCAACGAATTTCCCGAACGTAGTAACCAGCGAGTCCCAGCTGGAATTACGGAATCGATCTCTCGCACCACCGACAGTATTTCCATTGGGTATAGCCGGGGGATCGAAGACAATTTCGCGAAGGAACCATTCGGACAGCAACAACGGCGTGCCGATAGTCCAGCGAATGTCCCTCTTCTACCGTTAGTTAACATCCAGTCGTATGTTCGCTTTCTGGACGAAGTACAGGCTCAGAGTTCGGAGAACGCCCGACTTCCAAACCCGATAATTGTGGATAATCTTCCGAGTGTCGCCCCTAAGCTAATGGGAACCATACCATATACAGTGTGGCAACGCAATACAAACGAGATGCGGTGGCAGCATGTTCAAGATCAGCCGTGCCGTGATGAGATGGACGAATCCCAGTGTCAACAGCAGCGCGAGCAGAAGTTAATCCATTTACTGAGGCAATCTGAGGAACAGCAGGAGCGGGGCAGGCAACGTATGTAATATATCGAAGCCATGCTGGAAAAGCAGCACGACGTCGAAGCGAAATATCAAAAGGAGAATAAAGTTCAGCTTCATAATTTTTTTTTTTTCAAAAATTCGCCCTTCTGATCCACATGTTTCAATTTGGCTCATTTCATATGTTGCTCAAGATTTCAGCGAAAGTGAAGTGGCTGGAATCGATTTCTTGGTCGAACAACAACATTTCGAGCTTATCCACGATGAGTCATCTGTTTCTGATGGGAATCTTAATCAGTGATGTGTGATTTGTGTTTATCATATGATAGGCTATTTACGTGCCACTATAAAAGGTTTCGAATGATTTCCTGGGCTGCATGTGTGCCTTCTAACGAGAAGTCTTATCATTTTCATTGCCGTCCTACAAGAGTAATTAGACCATCATTTGATGTCGTAGATTGAGCTTGTTATTGGATGCATGCGAAATCATAACGCAATGGAAAATTTAGTATTGATAGTAGCTTCTTATCAAGTCATATATTTTTAATCATGTCTGGGCTGTCGATCTGTAACAACGCATTCAAATTGTCTCTAAAAACAAATGTCATCATCTTTTGTGAATTTTCTTTGAATTGCATAGTTTTAGTAGAGACAATTTCCTATAATGTATCATTATAAAAGATTATCTCCGACCAAAGGGCTGTCACAATAGGGTAGACGTACCAGTAATGGCTATACGTTCCCATTATGGTATGTTCCAATTATGGCCTATGGAATTCCATAGGCCATAATTGGAACACACCATAATGGGAACGTATAGCCATAACTGGTACGTCTACCCTATCAGTTTCAATCAACTAAATGGGACCCATTTGTCATGCAGTTTTGGCGTGATTTTCTACCAGCAATTTTGACAAAACTGGATCAACAAGTTACTATTGTTTGAATGAAAGTCACAAATTTTGGCTACTTTTAACGTAATTCTAGAAGAAAAATATATCAAAATATTTACTTGGAGATGCTGATATGCTTAACGTCAAGTATCAGACTTAAAGTGGTCATTTTATACGATAGATTAGTAGACGGAAGTATAGAGTTGATAGATCCGTTAGCGCAGTGTGAAAATTGTATATCGAGAGTAGAAAGTGAGTAAATTTTGAGGAAGGTACGAATCGGGTTGATCGTTGCCTTTACCAGCGAAAACAAAACCACCCGTTCGCAGGCAGAGCCTACTCAGTTTGCTCTGAAAACAAGGTTGCAATAATTGAGTATTGGGCAACATATTACTGGCATGCTATATAGTTCATTGAGTTCATTCATTGACGTTTTCCAAGCACACATGATTTAAAATATGTAGTAGAAATCCATTTTTGAGAACGCATCATTTTGGCTTTGTGCAAAATCTATGAAAGGCCATTGTAATTTCCGCTTCACTATTGTGAGCAGTTATGGAAGAATCTCTGGAACAAACTGGGGCAATTGGAAACATTGTAAAGAGCGGTAAAATCGCATCCCACTGTAGTAATCTAACCAATGATGCTTTCCTTTAAGTTTATCGCACACACCAGTAACAGTAGTTTCTTCAAATCAATTCCAGATGACCACCACCAACAGCGAGCTGCTGGGGCTTGCCTTCATGGCATTCTTCATCATCACACTCTCCTCAACCGCCCGGTATTATTTCAAATTCTTCTGCTTCGTGATACTGTCGGTGGTATGTGCCGTGGGACCAGTTCCGTTCATGCTTCTCCGGCCACGGGACTACCGGAATGCCTTGTAAGTATCCAATCGAGGTATTACAAAATATCTTATTCATCAATCCAGCGAGAACGATTCCGCCACATTTCCTCGCACAAACAAGACAATTACATTGTTCTTCCCGATTGCTTACATGCAAACGGAAATGTTTCGGAATTACATCGTGATTGGATTACTAGATAATTAACGTAATTTATTTAGAATTTGAGCAAATAAGCAAACTGAACGAATCGAAAGGGACAATTTTCCCATAAATTATTAAGCAAATTGACGCACACAGTTTCGTCGTTCGGTTCGCCCCTTGGACCATTTTGTCTTGCTTTTGCCTTTATTAGAGACAAGTTTGTGCCGGGTTACTGGACAAACTCGAGCCGATGCCGTTATTATTGATAATGACAGTTTTATTTGCTTTCTTGCACTTGTTCGCCATGGTTCTAGATTGCCCGCCTATCTGTGTACTATGTTTGGGAAAATGCTTGGCGCCTCGTTCGAAGTTCGCGGCAAGGAAAACGTTAACCGACAGCACGGAGGGGTTGTCCTAATGAATCACCAAAGTGCGCTGGACCTAGTCGGTAAGGTACCAATGAGAAGGGGAAATTGGCAATTAGTATAGTTTTTGGACAACGGAAACTGAACTGTGTATTTTTTGTTTATTTGTAACTTGTAGTGCTGGCCTATTTATGGCCCATCGTAGGACGAGCGACGGTGGTGGCAAAGAAGGAGGTCCTGTACATGTTTCCATTTGGACTGGCCAGCTGGCTATGGGGGACCCTGTTTATCGATCGAAAAAATCAGAGCTCAGCCAAGACGGCCATCAATAAGGAATCGAAGGCCATCAATGATAAGCAGGTTTGTGGAAAAGTTTTATGATAAATTCGCTACTAGAACTGTCATATGATTGATGCGCATACTTTCAGGCGAAAATTCTATTCTTCCCAGAAGGAACCCGAGGCAACGGAGACAGCTTGCTTCCATTCAAGAAAGGATCCTTCCACGTTGCAATTGAAGCACAAGGCTACATCCAGCCCGTGGTGGTTTCCAAGTATCACTTTCTGAATTCAAAGGCGAAAATTTTCAATCGAGGTATTTCAAATCAACATTAATTACTCCATATTTAGAGTCGGTTTTAATGTTGTTTACTTTTCCAGGCCAAAATATCATCAAAATTCTACCGGAAATTTCCTGTGCTGGCATGACCAAGGAGGACATGCCTCGATTGATGGACCGGGTCTACAAACTGATGCAAATCGAGTACGAAACACTCAGTGATGAATCGCTGGCGATTAATAATCTCAGCAAGAGTCTTTAAATTCCACCATCGAAAATGGAACGCGTAAAACGCTACAAAAAAACTGTAAACGAAGTAAAAGACTTTTGAACTCTTGTTCACGTCTGAGTGGGGTATTAATTTCCAGGAAAACTGGTTAGCAAACACGCTCCTTTATCCACCGCAGCTTTTCATCCATGATGGTCCTTTTCCGCAAAGGAATGGGAAATCAAAGGAACGACGCACCTTTAGCCGTAGAATTGAAGAAATGAAGAGGCTTTCCATCCCTCAGTCAGCTCTGATGAATAGTGCCCTATCTTTGCAGCCACAGAACCACCCATCCTTTTCTAATGGGACTAGTTTTTAAGGAAAATTAGCACAAAGCAAGAATGATTGCTCAAAGAATTAATCTTCCCCGCCTGGACCGAGTAGGAACAAAATTGAACTGGAGCCTCCGAAACATTTAATTTTCCCAAAGAATTTATTCGTTAGGCTAGAGTAGAACGCGAATGGGGTTTTAAGGAATGTTTTATTTTTTCTGTGAATAGCACGAAGTAAGATTAGAGCAAATAAATTAAAAACATCGTGTCTTAACATTGCAATGAATGGACGGGTAGTGATACAACTCTGGAATGGTAGTAGATTTCTGTGCGAATTGTGACCAGTGAGAAATATTCCTCAGATGGATCGGTAAGAATGTAAGATTTACTGCATAATTGATCTTTATATATGCGTCTTTGATTCTGTATATAGATAAACAAACAACTGAAAACAATATTCCTAAAAAGCTACATCTATTTAGAGTGGTGAAATTTTAGCAATAAACAAATATATGGTACATGTGATACACGTTTAATAACATTTCTAGAAGTGAATACAAAACCAAATGAAACCAACAGCTATTATTTCTGAGCCGAAAACAACACTTCCGTTGAATCACCCCCCGTCCGAATCGATTGCATGCCCACAACTGTCAAATCAAAAAAAACAGCAAGCCGTTGCGGAGACAATCACGTGCTCCATGCCCGTCGCGAGTTTAAAAACAATCCCCGTCAAAGCAAAACAATCGAAACAAAATGTCTTCGCACGCTCCGGTCTGTCGGATTTGCCTCTCCAACGACGAACTGCAAGTGTCCATCTTCGGGGCGTACGCCCGCAAGCATCGGATCCTGGTCAAAATCCGCGTGTGTCTTCCGATTACTGTCGACGAAAACGATGCCCACTCGAAGACGATTTGCTACAACTGTATATCGCTGTTGGACCGGTACTACGATTACTACTGCAACTCGCTGACCACGCAACGTGTGCTGGAGAATGGTGACTCAAGCTACAAGGAATACTTTCGGAAGAAGGTGGATCAGCGGTTCACGACCGCCGTGGATCATCAGAGCCGACAGGATGGTGGCACGAGGGTGGTCCCGGCGATTATGGAAGGACCAAGCTCGTCAAGACAATCGGACAGAGTGCAAGCTGTGGATTTGCTGACGCAATCACCACGGTCTCCATATTTCAAGGCTATCTCCAGTACGACCTACGTAGTTGATCCGAGAAGAAGTCCACGAGCTCCGATTCCTTCAACTAGTTTTTTGGATCTCGGGAAAAGTTATAAGAAAAAGAAGAAGGAAGCCATTTCCAGGAGATTGTTCTCGACGTACGATGCTGCTTTGCCAAGGATTTCGCCAGTCTTGTTCGATGGTAATATTTCAGACGTACAATGAAAAATTGTATAATAATTAAATGTGATGGATAAATAAATTGGAAGAATTGTGCTGAGTGGGGATGTTTTTAAATTTTCATTTGTTTCCGAGTGTTCTACTTTGTTAAGGTCTTGGAATAATACTGTAGGGGACGACGGGGTAAGACGGGCACCCGGGATAAGACGGTCACGCTTTAGATTATTGAAACAATCAGCTCTTGAAAAAAAAAAATGATGCAGTGAAACGTCAACATACACAACAACAACAAACATTGCAGTGTTCACTCGGCTGTCGACAGAAGCAGCTCTCGATGTGTGCCACGCGATCGTCTGTTTTCTCGGCAGCAACCATTGTGTGGTCATCTTCATTGTTCTTCATCTGCAGTTCTTTCGGTGGATGCGTCTTCGACTTAGGAAAGCAACCGTTTAGTGATGAGTGTGTGAGTGTTGACCACGTTTTGCGTCCATTGCTGCAATGGAAGCGATCTGACCCTCGTTGGTGTAACTATTGTCGCTAGACTTGGAAACCGAAATGACCCACTCGCGACAATCGATTTTACTCTCGTTCTGTACGTTAAACATAACGTCGCATCTATTGCGCTGTATTCGTTTAATGATGCACTATAGTTCGCACTAGATGCGACGTTAGGTTTAACGTACAGAACGAGAGTAAAATCGATTGTCGTGAGTGGGTCATTTCGGTTTCCAAGTCTAGCGACAATACCATACAATGAAACCACTGGAAGCGGCTCCAGTTCTGATGGAGGAGGAGGCTTTTTGGATAGCGGAAGACAAAGTGTTTATTGTGTTGTACCTTTTGACTATAGTTTTAAGATGTATTGTATAGTGACCAAGAATCCTCGACTCTGTAAAGTTAATTCGTTTGAGCCTTATCAAATAAATTAATAAACAAACAAAAACAAACATTGTGTATGACGGAGGCCTGCATTTGTTGATTTTTGTTTACGGAATTTATTGCATTAGAGCTATCATATAATTTATCATGTAAAAGTAATGTTGCTATAAGGAAAACGTATGTCTGTTAGATGTACTTATAATGAAAAATATATAGTTTTCAATAAATTATGAAGTATTACAGAAGCTGTTACAGTTTGACATGTGTCGGTGGAAGATGGCCACCTTTGGTTGGATGAAACTGAATGCGTAAATAACAATATTTCGTTTTTGAAACATAGGGGAAATGGCTCTAATGTTGGCCTATGGATCTAAGATTGGGCCCATCGCTAAAAATATGCTATTTATCAATTGTATCTAAATGAACGCGTCATTGGGACGATACTAATGTATATTTTGGTTGCTATTCAAAATTTAGTCGATTGCTGAATTTATGTATGGGCCCAAATTAGTGGCGTTTAGGCCGACATTACATCCATTTCCCCTATCAGGCTTCTTCCGAAAACATTTGTAGATCTGTCATCAGTATGAATTCATGATATGGAGGCCCCGGGGATCTACCAGAAAATCCGGAACAACCGTAAAAAAAAGTAGTCGATTTATAACTCTAGGTTCACGACTTCTACACAGCAAAAAAATAATTTTGATATCACGTCAAAGTGGATGCACTACAATCATGTCGAAAATATGGTGTAATATTACTTGCTAAAAAGGACAAAATTATCATTAATACAATGCATGAACTGACATTACGCTGCTTTTACTGCATTTGTTTATTTATGTGGTCATAAAAATTACATGAAATTTTCGACATGATTGTATTGCATCCACTTTGATGTGATATCAAAATTATTTTTTTGCTGTATAAATAGCTTCTGTTACACAGCAAAAAAAATGTAATATCGATCAATGTAATTCAAGCTGATGTATGAAATAATGATGTAATAGCAAAATCAATGTAGAAAGTACTCTAAAGAGTAATTATCACTAAATTTATGGCAGAAATTCTATACAGTTTTGGTTAAAGCTAATGGTGTTTTTAACTGGTTGATTGGAAATATTTTATAGGGTGGCTTTCTCAGTCATTTAGTAGAAACGATTTGTTTTTTTTTACGTTCCCGACGTTTCGACCGTTTGGTTTCGGCCTTTCTCAAGGGTTGTAATGTATATCGTTTCCGGTTTAAAACTTGTACGCATCGTAAACAGCGTACATGGGTAAGTACGTACAAAGGTCACTCAGCACATTGTGCCAAAATTAGATTCGGCACAATCTCGTAGGCATTGAATTGCTGTAAATAAAATTGAAGCACTGATTGTTAACTGTCATTGAAGTTGTTCCCAACATTACGTGCTGTTTGACTGTATATTCAGGTCCATCCTCTAATTGAATATACCAGAGGAACTCAGACCAGCAGTTCACTTATATAGATCTAAATACGAAATGTAGGTTCTAGAGTTGGCTCAAAAGAAAGAGGTAGTTACTCAGAGCCTATTAGCACCCTTAATTCAAATAATGATGCAACTCACACAAAACAAACTACAGAAGTCTATTCATCATCCTCTATGGTCGGTCTCCTACAATGTTCCCCACCGGTTCCACCTCTTTCCGGCCACTGATAGACCGTTGCTTTTCACAGCACAATAGTTTAGGTTTCTGGTCTGCCTTCGAAGGTATTGTAAAATCCTAAACCACATAATTTTTATCATCCTATGAAAATAAAACACTAAAATTTCGCACACTCACCACTTCCCGCGTCATCTCCAATCCGATTTTTCCTTGCGATTTTAAACCAAAACATTCAAGGTGTCAGAAATACCGGGTTGCCGGGATGGGTATTTTACTAAAAATTGCAGCTTGCTCTATGATCGGCACAATCAGCACACCTGCGGCACACTGACAAAAAATATGACCCAAGATTGATGTGCGAAGTGACCTACCTCTTGGTACATGGGTGTTTTCATGACCTGTTGTTAATTTGTAGCATTTTTTTTTAATAAAGTGAGAAAGGCCAAAACCAAACGGTCGAATCGCCGGGAACGTAAAAAACAAATTGTTTCTACCAAAAGTTTTGTCTAAATTTTACTTAAAGCTTAGGCCTTATTGCTTCGTCGTCCCCTTTTCGCAATAAACAATTAGGATAGAATGAAAAATGAAAAAGTTACAGACAATTAATTTAACAGTTCCTATGAAAAAAATTTCATGTGCTTTGCGAAGAGACCTTCAGGAAAATTCTATGGAGAATACCAGCAAAGTTATGAGAAGAACTAAATGTTAAATCTGAGGTGAATTCCATGAGAATTGTAAAAAGAAGACCAACTTAATTTCTGAGGATAATTTTAAAGGAAGTTTAACGGCAATTTGTAGGGACATGTGGTCACAATTAAACGAAAATTTTGACAAAAACAACATGACGTGAATTCCAGGAACACGGTGATAAGGGAATCTCAATCGGAACGAGAATGTTCTTTTTGTAACAGCATTCCAGGAGGGGAGATTACTTACAGAGTGCTGAGGATAATTATTAGGAAATAATAGCGTTCGAACTTCTGAGTAGTAAATAAAGAGAACTTCAACAGAATTTCAATCGTTCCAAAGAATTTCTGATAAGCATTCCAAGGGATTTCTGACAATACCTTAAAAGGCATTCTGACTAGAAATCCAAGTCAATTCTGATAAAAAATCGAGAAGAGACTAAATCTGAGGATAATTACATAGGAATTACGTGGAAAGTTTGAAAGGAATTCAATGGAAAATATCAAAGAACATCAGATTCTGGTAGCATTCCAAGATAATCTGGAGAAGAAAAGCATCGAAATTTCAGCAGAATACTTAGAGAATGCTGAAAAATAATCCTAATGACTTTTTAGTATTTATTTCAAGTATTGAAAGAATACTCGCGTCACTTTTCAAAAGGTCCTAAGTTACAAATGTTAACAAATCGAGTTAAGCGATACAAACTATTGCTCTTCTATCATTGTATGTGATACAAAAACATCCATCCAATTTTACTTTCATTTATTTAAGATAATCATAGGTCAAAATTTTTCCGACGTACAGTTTGAAATGTTACTTCGGTCATTCAGACTGCCTAACATGATTGGTGCTCATTTTACAAAGGCGGGGCCAATCTAAAGTTAGGTACTCTACTCTGAAATCTGTGAAAGGGAATCTAGTATCATGTAGACAAAATGTCCAATGTAACATTCATTGATTATGTCATTGAGAAAAATTGCCGAATGTAACATGTCCGATGTACAACTTACTAGTCAAAACGTCCTAT